GGTTACCCACCAGAACTCCGTGCAGAGCTTAGCTGGGAGAGGTGGAGAGGGCAGAAGTTGAGGAGCTCTTGAGAGGTTCTTGCCAACATAATGAAGTAGGAAGATGAACCGATCAATACTAAGTATCCCGGGCCAGAGGCGGGGATCCAGCCCCGAGGGAGATATGTTTCTATTATTAAGATGCTGCTAGACCGGATCTGCAGACCCCAGGCCCCCCTCTGGCATTCTTCTGTGCCTGCGTCCCCTCCTATAGCCGCGAGCCCCACCTTGACCTTACCCAGCACAGTTTTGGCTTCTCAGGGCAAAGCAGCAGGTGCGGGCCTGGCTGCAGTGAGGCAGAAACTCACCGCTGTCTTTGCCCCCCACCGGGTGGGGGTTGGGAGAACCGCAGGAACAACTGAACTGCAGGGCCGGCCTCTTGCCTTTCTGACTTCCTTTCCCTAGGGCTCTGGATAGAGAAGGCTGGGGGACACACAGTTGCCCTTGGGAAGGGCCAGCTTTTGGCAAACGACCTCTCACAGATCTGACAACACTAGCTGGCCCACGTTGTTGTAATCTGAATTTGGGGGTTCAGCTCACGACACTCTGGGGTGGGTAGAGTAGGATACCCTCTGTTTCTGGAAGAATTTATGTAGGAAGTCCTTGGTTTAGTTGGGGAATGGGAGGGTCTTAGGGGTCCAGGTTGGCTTGCAAGCCATGAAAAAGCTCTAAGCCTTCATTAGTTCAGTTCTGCAGGCTCCTGTCAGAACTATCCACAGAGGTGCTCCATGGAGGAGCTCATTGAGATGGGTCACAGAGCTCCGGTGTTCAGGGGGCTCTAGTGTGGGACAGACTCTTCCTGCTAAGACAACCCTCGTTATGAGAAGCTCTGAAAGCTTTATCTGAGCTCTGAAAGCCTGCTTCTCTGCAAGGGATGGGTGGTTCTAAGAGATGGGGTCCCTCTCCAGTGGTAGTTTGTAGAATGGGGTTTAAGACTGGGACCCAGCCAGGCATTGGAGGCACACACATTTAATCCCAGCACTCAGGAGGCAGAGGCAGGCGGATCCCTGAGTTCGAGGCCAGCCTGGTTCCAGGACAGGTTCCAAAGCAATGCAGAGAAACTCTGTCTCGACACCCCCTCCCTCACCAAAAAAAAAAAAAGAAAGAAAGAAAAGAAAAGAAGAGAAAAGAAAAAGAGTGGGACCTAGACCTGCAGGGAGTACTCTGAGAAGGCAGTGGGCTTAGAGGGAAACTGATGACTATTAAGACCTTACAAGTTTGGCTTCTGACTCCTGGAAGATGGGCTATGAAGATGGGTAGCCAATGAACGATGCAGTCTGGCCTGGGTGTTTTGCCTGTCAAACATTAATCTTTGTCAGTTATTGGATAACTAAATTTACTACAAAGGTGGCAACCTGTCGGTGCTAAATTGCATATAAAGAGTTTAGCATCCAACAGTCACTTAATAAACAATGATTTGTAATGTTCTGTCCACTCTCCTCAGACCTCCCAGCCTTCAGTTTGTTTCTCTTTGTACCTAACCACTGGTCTGTGTTTCTTCCTGCTTCTCATGGTCTCAGCAATTCAACAAAAACACTCTCCAATGTTCTGCTATGTACTCCTTCTGGATGATTCCCCTGTGGGTCTCTGTTTCTCCTATTTGTCATGCTTATATCCACTGAAGAGTGTGTATTTATTTTCATTGCCTAACTTGTAGAACAAAAGATGTGGATAGCAGAAAAACCCTTTCGGGAGAATTCATAATAATTTTAACTGGTGGATTGTGCTTACTTTGTGTCAGGTGCTATGCTAAGCACTTGTGACCAAGAACAACATTCAGTCCTCATAGTCTTCTGACTTGTCCATCAGTACCATTCATTGGAAACATGGGCAGAGAGAGGTGGAAGTGACCTGCATGAGGTCAAGGAGTGGTGGGTCTAAGTCTTGAATCATATCTTCGTGATTCCAGGGTTCTTGGGATCCCGATTCTCCATAGTGTGTGTGTGTGTGTGTGTGTGTGTGTGTGTGTGTGTGTGGGTGTGTGTGTCGGAGAGAGAGAGAGAGAGAGAGAGAGAGAGAGAGAGAGAGAGAGAGGGAGAGGAGAGAATGTCTGAATTTCATTTCCCTTTGGGAATTTCCTCTGGCCCCTGCTGTTGTCCCCTCACTTGGCATATCACTTTCTCCCTTCTCTTTAACGCCTGACCTAAGCATGAATGACAGTGGGAAAAATAACTAATGAAGGAAAAGAAGAAAAGGCTACAACAATAGCTGTTGCCCTGAAAGGTGCCTCTTTGGGTGCATTTGACAGTACTGGGGCTGGGATGAAATAGTAGGAAAGAACATGGGTCCAGTTCCCAACATAGGCACTTCTTAGCTGTGGGGACTTGAGTGATTATCAAATATCTTTGAGCTTCAATTTCCTAATCTACCCAACAGGAAAGCAAAGCTCTTTTGCAATGTGGTAAGGGCTAAATGGGATGTAAAG